CCAGGCCCGAGGCGGGAGAGGGAGAGCAGAGCTCTCCTCCAGCTGCACCGTGGGAGGCCCGGGAGCAGGAACAGGCAGAAGGCGGCCGGGGAGAGGGGCAGCAGCACGTGTCCCCCACCCCCACAGCTCTGCAGCGCTCGGGTAGGCAGCACAACCCAACGTGGACCCTGTCCCGGGGACTCCCTTCCAGCTCACGGCCAGGACCGTGTGTCAAAAGGACTGACTCGGGTTTCTGGGCATCACCTGCAGGAGAAGGCTGTGCCTTTGGTTTTGCCCAAAGTCCCTTCCCCCTCAACGCCGAAACCAGCCCAGGATCCGGCACAGACAGACCCATCCGGGTAACGATGAGTGATTCACTGTTGTTCCCAAGCCAGATCTAGAGGGATGGTTAAGGAGAACTTGTGGCAATGAACTAAAGAAAATGCCTTGTCCCATCGAGACAAGGGCTGCTGTTCCTCCCTTTCAATGCTCCAGAAAATCCCCAACTACCCCGTGCTCCAGGCTGAAAGGCCGTGGCACGCCACGTTACGTTATTTTTCAGTATTACTAGGAACAGCCGACGAAAAAGGAAATCAAAAGGGTAGCAGATACACCGGCACAGTAAATCAGAGGCCACCGATCCCTTCATGAGCATCACTTGAAAAGGCTGGCAATACTTCTCACCCCACTGAGCCTGGCCTTCTCTCCCTGCCACCTTCCTCCACCCGTCCTTCCTCCCTGGCTGCAGCCTCTGAGGCTAGAGGAGCTCACCCGCCCGGGGCCCGGGGCACCACCCACGTGCGAGGTGCTGACTGAAAGGTGCACGGCACAAGATTTCCACGGCAGCCCCGCGCGAGGAGAAACCCCGACCCCACCGAAGCTCGAGGCTTTCCTTGGCCCCAGGACTCCCAGCTCCGTCGGCACAACGAGGCGGCCAGGAGGGAGCTGCGAGGCCACCCTGAAATAAATCCCCCTTCAGTTCAGGCCTCCAGCGCCGTCGCCAAGCCCGTCACAAGAACTTACCAACTAACAGAACCTCCCGTTCAGACTTCACAGGACTCGTGCTCAGCGCCTTTTCGACCGGACAGTCCTTCTCCTGGCTGCACGCACAGGCTCTGGACGCGCTGCTCTCCTGCAGGGAAACCACAGGGCCCGTTCCACACCGCGGCAGCCCCGCCGGCGCTCCTACCCCGCAGGCAGCAGCTCGCTGGGGCTCTGTACGTTTGTTTTCCTGCCGCTGTGAGTCATCACGCTCGCTCGTGGCACGGCTGGACCGGCTGTTTGTTTTGCAAAACGCTTCCAACGAAGCGCGGCCACGCTCGTGCTGCTGGCTCTGAATTGCCAAGCCAGATTAAAAGCCCACCGAGGTCAGCAAGATGCCACAACACGCACTTTATCAGCCCTGCTCACGTCGCCTGCTCTAGAAGGGCCTTATTTTAAACAAGCAAAGAAAAACCAGGCGGCCAGCCTTGCGGCGCCCAACTCGGACGCGGATGTTTATTTTCCAGATGCCTCAAACCGAGGCAACGCGACTATTGGGCAAGAGTGCCCGATGGCCACAGAGGGTTTAGGATCAGACTGTCCTTGACTTGAGCTTGTGGTACTGAACCAAACCAGAATTTTGCATCATCTGTGATCCCCCAAAAGGAACACACGACTGCCAGTGATGCACAGACTCGGTGGGGGCAGCAGAAGCAGGGCTGCCTTTTATTCTCAAGTTTTACGCAGAATTCCAGCGGTCTGAGCTCTACAGACAGCTATAATTGGAAGCAGCTTCCAGTCGCTAGTGAAGCGGACTGGGCCCGGGCCAGTAACCAAGATAGACTGAAACGGTCCCCTGGGTTCACTTAGCTGCTCACACCAGTGCAGTTCTCAGCTACCCGGGACTGGAACTGTGGGGTCATTTGCTTCTGCGGGAGAAAGTCACGGTCTGCACCGGGGAACGGAGCCGGCCCCAGGCTGGCCCAGGGCCGCGGGCCAGGCAGCGGCGTCACGCTGGGAACGCACCGCCTGCCCCCTCCGGCGGACCCAGCAGGGGCTCCCGGAGCTGGCTGAAGTGACGGTGCCACAGGTGACGGGGCACACCAAACCCCGCTCCTACACCGCGGTGCTGCACGCGCCCGCGGCTCTCCCAGCCAGCAGCTGCCAGCAACGGGGAACCTGAGGGGGTTTTTTTTTGCTCACTCCGCGTGTTCCACGCTCCTACGCCTCACAAGCAGCCAGCCGTTAGGAAATTGCTCGTTTTACAGCGAGGTGGCACCACCTCCCTCTGACCAAAGCAGCAGCAATGAAGCTCTCAGACTTACGTTCCCTTGGCAGTCAAGCGCATCCCTCTCCTGGTCCTCTTCATCGGCCATGCTCTGCTACACGCCGGCAAAGAAAAGGAAAGATTACTGACAGTATCTGTTATCTCTGTGCTTTGCTACCAGGCTCCTGCACTGGAGATTACTGGGATACAAACCACCTTTAATTACTAGAAAGACATTCACTATCTATTTAGCCCACGGCACAAAAAGGTGGGGCTAAGGACTGAGCAGCTGAGACAAGAGCTAGGATTTGGCTCTCTGCTCTCCATGAGAGGTGCTGCACAACGTCTCCTGCACAACCTGCAGAACTGTGACCGCGCCAGAGGGGGACCAAGCGAGGTTAGATCCGTGCACGGGTCCACAGCCTAAAGACAGAGCGGATCAGGCCTGAGAAGCAGCAGTATGTAGGTATGTTTAGAGTGAATCCAGCAAGCACGAGAGAACATTACAACACAGAAACTCTGAATTCAACAGTGGTTTATGGAGGTCAGATCAAAACACGTCCCTAAAAGCAAATCTAAAAAGTCAGAGTTTGAAAACTGAGACCTTTTTTCCCCCCATGTTTGAAAGCTGAAGTTGCAGAGGAACACACTTCAGCTGCTGTACCACTCTATGCTATGAAATCAAAGTTAATCTTTTATTTATACAGTTGCTTATCTAGATTGTCTCACTGGTAGACGAAGCAATCAGCAAGTTCATTACTGACAGACACCCTCTGATTTGGCAGGGAATAGTTTCCAGCTTTCCAAAGACAATTGCTCCTAAGGCAGGGCCAGGCATCCTCCACACTTTGTCCTTCGCTGCGCTCGTGATGGACCACGAAACCCCAGGACTGCATTCACCGCTGAGAACCAGGAGCACTGGGTCGGCACATACCTGCTCCTTCAGGTTTTCTAGTAACGCTTCTATTTTCAGTTTGTCTTCTCTCACTTTTTCTAACTCAGCTTCTCTCTTTTTGTATTCATCTTGTACTTTCAGGAGATGCTGGAAGAGAAAAAGAAATGCAGTTGTTAACCTGCCTTTCACCCCCTACTATTTAAAGAATATAAAGTGAAAAAGGGCCTTCCCACGCAGCACGGACAGACCACAGCCAGAACAACGACGAGGTCAAGCATACAAGAAGAAGAAATCTTTTCCACAACGTACTTAGAGACCTCTTTGCCTACGAGCACACAGAAAAGCCTGACTTTGTAAACACGGGGCAGTAACTCCATCACCCACAAACCTTCGCTGCCCTCGAACAAAGCACGTGCTGTGCACTAGACCGCGGGCCTGGCCCACGTTAAAGCTAGCTCCCCCTCCTCCTCTTGCAAGGTAAGGGAATTCTCTGAGCAGCTACTCGATAAGGGCGTTTCCACTGCTATTTGCACAACTTGCAGAAAAACGTAACGACCCCGGGCACCAGCCCAGCGGCGCGGGGTGCTCGCGACGCCGCTCCCCTGACAGCAAAGCTCAGGGGGAAGGCTGGGTGCTGGACCCCAGCCCGTGTCTCCTCAGAGGGGAGCGGGATGAAATTCTCCAGCCCGACGTGGTGTCTGTCAAGGAGAACCACGCTGCGGCGGGGGCCATGGCAGCCTGCTCCCAGAGCAGATCCGTGCTCCTCAACGCAGCCACGGGGAAAGCAAGCGAGCGCAAAAGCCGACACAGGGGACAGAGGAAAGGTACAACGACCGATCTCTCATTAGAGCCAGAGGAAAACGGCGCTCAGCAAACCGCCAGCAGCACCGGGCCTCTCAAACAGGCAAGATCGAGTCACCAGGGGAAAGGCTTAAAGGCCAGGAGTGCAGAGCCTAGCAGCTTTCCCAAGTCAAACCGGGATACAAAACCACACAAGCGCTTCAGTGAACGCTTTCTCCCCGGCTTCAAACACCCCTAACCAGCTGTTTAAAACTTTTTCCCTCAACTAGAAGGAAGAATCAAAAAAAAAAACAACCCCCAAGACATTCATAACCTTATTGCTGAACAGCTACAAACAAGCAGCATCTGTTCTCATCCAGGCAGTTCCTCCAGAGTATTCTCCCAGCACCACCAGCCATCCCGGTAGCGGTGCAGTGAGAAACTCGACCTGCCCGACACCTGCGGAAAGGGAAACCCGCTGTGCCCCGCGATTCCCCCCGCGGCGAGGGCCGACGGTGACGACAGAGGGCTTCTCCTGCCAGCCCCAACGTCACAACCACCAGCGCTGCCAGCTGACACGTCAGGTCCGGCCAGAGAATGACCACAGCCCTCACAGCCTTGCTGCAGGCTCTCACTTTAACACCGCGCCCACCCGAGCTACGACACGCTCTGCGTGCTGGGTTATCGGCTTAACACCCCGAGGGCCGCTGTTAGGGTTTACGAGGACCCAAACCACTCAATGTCCAGGGAAATCCCAAAAAACGAGACACACCCTGGACATTTCAGCGAGAAAGTAAGGCCAGTGCAGTTCAGGAAGCCTGGGATTTCCCACTTTCTAGCTGACGCTGGTACGCAGGACCTCACACAGTCACGGAGCGGGTGAGCACAGGCTCAGTTCTTCAGAAGCCACAGGGTGGTCAAGCAAAGAGGACGCAAGGAATCCATAAACTCTGGATTGTTTCCATGCGACTTCTCAGTTCACACACAGTCACCGGTTTGAGCGTTTGCTCGATTGGGGGCTGGGGGTTTTTTTGGCAACGCCGTAAATGCCGGAGTCGCTCCCATTTGCCAGTTTTGATCCCACTGAGAAGCAAAAGGCCTTTGCTTGTGTTTCTGCTCCACAGCACAGCCCCTTGGCCTCTGCAGCAAGACCACAGCCATGGAAAAGCCCGGGCCCACCTTCTGCATGCCCTGCAGAGCCTGCTGGAGGAGCTTCATCTGCTGCTCCTTGGTCGTGTCTTCGTCCCTGCTGGCTTTGCCTTGCTCCTGCTTTAGCAGCTCCACCTCGTTCCGGTAGGCGTCCAGCTGCCAGCGCAGGCTGTCGTTCTCCTCCTTCAGGGCTTCCACCTGCGACACCAGCGCTGGGGACAAGGCAGGGAGGGAGGAAAAGTCAAAGAACCGGGGGAAAGTCGTCCCTGGGTGCTCTCCCCCAGAGCACAGTGGCTCTGTCGCTCCCAGTTACAAATCCAGAGCACCAAAAGGGATTTGTCCCAACCACGGCTTGCCATGCCTCTTTAGAAAGCGAGCTCCTCTGGACAAAGAGCACCTCTCAGCAGTGAATGCAGTATTCACGTTGGAAGGGAAAGAAAAAAAAAGGCAGCAAAAGAACGTTACTGGGGTGAAATGGGCATGCTGGCCAGGAAGCAGCAAAGCCAAAGGACTCTGGGACAGGTTCCACCGGCACCTTCAGCCAGCAGAACGTCTCCATCAAGCCACGGGAGGAAACCCCAGCACCAGCCTGATGCCCACACGGGCGTGATCAACTCAGGAAGGGGATGATGCCACACTACGGCTGACGGCAGGCCACGAC